GCCAGATTAAGAGAGCCCAGGGGCTACAATGGCAGTGAATATTTAGCAGAGGGATTTGTCTGTCCCTTGGAGGAAATTGTTTCTTGAACAAATATTACTGCCACAGTCTAAGATACAGCAGATTTTCAAAAAGTGAGATTTGTGTGAACATACACGAACTCCATGGGACTGATCCCAGAGGAAGTTACTGACTTTGTCAGCTGGCAGTCCTTTTGGTAAGTGAAAAGGGACTGTGATGTTTGTAGTGTATGTCAGTCTTTTTCTTTGAACAGTAAAATTCCCAAAAAGCAAACAGTATACATTCCCAAAGTAGAAGCAATTTCCCTGGCTTCAAATTTTCAGTAGAAGTCTGAGGAAACACGTCTTGCTTAGAGAATAAATTAGTACTTGCAGACAACTCAGGAAAGCCAAATGTATTGCTGTTAAAATGTAAATATAAGTAGCAAAATTGAAACACAGTTCTTGACTGTGAGTCCCTGGTATTTAGAACTTTTGTGCATTTGCTGAGTCAGCACTTAACAAGTTTAGTATTGCTTGATCCTGCATTGTTGTAGAACTGGAAATCACTGATCTGGTTCATTTCAGGTTAATGGAAATCAGAACCATCAAACATCTGTGGCCTTGCTGGCTCTTAAAAGTTAAAGTGTGTTTCTGTTATGATTTTATAAAGCATAAAGCATTATAGATTATTTCAAGTGTGTAATTTATTGGAGAAAATATAAGTACATCTGTAAGTAATAGATGTTAGGTGCAAATACTTTTTTGTATTTCAGGATACTGTATGTATTGTATGAATGAATATAATGAACTGTTAGAAGTTATTAATTTGTCACTAAGCAAAAGTTAATTAACCTCATAGAAGTCTAAATTTGGAAAAAAAAACATAATTCTTTTGGGAAAAAGATATTATTTTAAAATATTTATGTCTTTCCTAAGGTAAAGATAATTATTGCAGAAACACTGGAAATATGACCACGAGTTAACATAAACGCAGTCATCAGTGAACAGACTCCCTTAGCTAAAAATCTATGCAAAGAAAAGATAGTGGCTTTCTCAAACTAATACCTTTAAAAGGGTTGTCTTTTATAACAAACCTTTTTTCCTTCTTCAGTGGAGATGAAAACTCTTAACCCTGTTCTGACAGTGGTGGGCTGCTCCTGTAGCCTATAGATACAGAAATCCATGTTTGTTACTTTTAAAGAAGTATTTCTTCCTTTGCTTGATATGAAGAACTGCTCAGTTGCTTTGGTAATTTAAGTGCTACTTCACATTTAGCAAAAACTACAGTTTATTTGGTGGTTACCAAACAGGAAAGAAATGGGTGACCTATTCCTTGAGTTTTATAAGATACTGCTGAAAAAAATTTTGGAAGCCTTTATTTTGAGTAGGTGAAGTTTATGTTGGGTTGCTGACAAGGAAATAATAGGCTCTTAGTGAATGAAGTATGATTTAATCTCTTCAAATTACATAGCACTTCGGTAAAAAAAGTGTACTTTAGAAATGTGTCTTTCATAATGGAGTTCAGAGCACTGCTGTGCAAACTGGAATTTAGGCCAATTGCCTTAAATTCACAAAGGCTGCAAGTTCAGTCTGTGCATTAAAAAAAACCATCTTAGTGCAGTGTTTCTTCCATGGACTCTTAGCATGCAGACGTTGCAAATCAGCCAGCCAAAAGAGTCCTGGTCCTAAGTTCTCATGAACATCTGATGTTCATTCATTTTGAATGGCAATTATTATTTTCACATAGTAGTGTGTGAGAGGCAGATCCTGTTTCCATTTGCTGACTGCAAAACATGCCAATATTTTATATCTTGCAGGGGCTCTTGTTCAGGTAGCTCAGTTCAGTTATCAGAAACATCCAGTTCCTTATTTCTGGTCCCATTTCTGCTTTCACTCATTATATGTGCCATAGTTTGTTTAGCAAACATTGTACAAACTTGTTTAAGGGTTAACAGGAACTCTTTTCCAAATAATGCTTTCGTAAACAGTGAAAATCAATCAGGGCTCCTGAAGATATTTAGACTAGTGTGTATAATTTTTTTTTTTTTAATTGGTGTCAGAATAGTAATAATTTGTTTATAGAACACAACAATTTTGGGATTCATTATTTTCATGTGAAAGGTTCTTCAATGGCTTTTTCTAAATGTAAGTACATATATAGAATGTTTAATGACTGCTGTGGATTAACTAGGATATTTTGCCCATAGAAGCACTCTTCATTAGAAGTTACTGAAAAATTAAAATATTAATTTTATAACATCTGTACATATCTACTGTTAATTATGGGGTTTTTTATAAAAATATAGCCTGGTTTCTGGACTCCTTAGTGTATAGATAAGGCTGTAGAAAGTTAGAAACTGCTTATGCCAATTATGCCATTGGCTACCCCTTTATGTTTCACCAAGTATTTCCTGTGCTGGCTTTGACTATCCCCTTCTTATGCCATCAGGCCACAAACTTCTGCTAAACACTTCTGTTTTGGGGGTTTTATACAAATTCACTTCAGTCATGAAGCATTGGTTTTTCAACAGACTGTGACTGAAAGGTTTTGAGAAAATATGTAAGTGAGAAAATGTATAAATGTAACATATGTAAATACTGTATCACTTGCTGAAAGATCAATTAGGTAATCTTCTTGGCTCTTTTGCCTGCTTGAAAACTCATGCAAATCTTGGCTACTTTGGTGTTCAGTGTGAATGATGTTGTATCTGATATTCTACGTTACTGTTCTGTCCATCTGCTAAATTCTTTCTGAAGTGACCTGCTATTTTTTAAGACTCAGTTGGATATATTGTGCTATGTATATAATTCCAACTTGAAGCACTAATGGTTCTTCAGTGTCTCTAACATCCAGTGGTCACATGAAAATGAGGTTAATTTTAAAGTTAAAACTGTTCTTATAGTGCTATTTTTAATTGCTTCATACGTATGCTCTTACAAGTGAAGTTTCTTGCATTGCTGTAGCAAAGACCCAAGTAATTGTTTGAAAATATGGGGATGAATTAATAGGAAACAAATAGTCAATAAAGTCAATCTTTAGTATGAAAAACATTTCCCTAAAGTGTAAAATGTTTTAATTATATCTAAAGAGGCCTCAGTGTGATCTTCCCTCCACAAGCCTATGTAAATTATTTGTCAGTGGTGGTCTGCCAAAAAAAACCTAGGGGACAAGGCAAATCAGGCAGTTGAAGTTAATTAGTGTCATGTGTGCATCACAAATGCAGAGAGGCTTAAAAGCCACCAGCAGTACTCAAAATAACACATTTGGGGAATAATTTCTGAGTTTGGCTCTGCAGTGTGGTTTGACTGTGGGATCTGGAGGATGAGTTTTTACGTGAGTTTTATGAAAGCTTGCAGCAGAATAAGAAGTGGAATATTTTGTTTAATAATACCAGTCACAAGTTGTGGTGGCAGTTAGAAAAAAACAGTTCTTCACTACTCTTACTAATGCTGATTTATTCAGATGGTGTAATACTCAAATTAAGGGCAGTTTTTTGAGAGGTGCTGTTCTAACAGTAAAGTTTAGTAACTTTACAAGATTGGAGAAGAGTGTTTTTTTCTGAGACTGGTATGGGATCAGCCCTAATTAGATGCCTCTTTAGCTTTTCTGGAAATCTTCTGCATGGGACGAAAGTAATTCTGTAGTTTTGTTTTGGTTTGTAGATGAACAGTGTAAGAAATTAAATCATCCATGGTGTTGTTGAAAAAAAAAATTACGTTACAGCTAGGTACAAACTATAATTTCATCAGCTTATAGGAATTGTATACTTATAAAGCAAATAAGTATCAATTGTATAACTTCCAACACTGATTAAAAATATCTAATTTTGAAGACTAAGGCATTCTACACAATATTCTTTGCCTGATGGCATATCTTGAAAAAATAAAAATGTTGCATTGCTTAAAAATAAAATATAAAGCTAAAGAAAAATCTTAGAAGAGGAATTTCACATTATATATAAGTTCTTATTTTACTGTATTAAATACTTAATAATGAATAATAGTGTGGGGTTTAGCTACTAATGGTTCCAAGTCCCAACTGGTATCAGTTTTAAAATAACTTCAGTTGAAATACTTGTTGAAGCATACCGAAGGAATGAACTGCATTAATCACTTCATTATGAAATAAAATATTTTATGCAGATATACTTAATGTTTCCTCAAAATGTCAAATTTCTCCATATCAGCACCCCAGGAAGAGAAGAAGCTGGTAGAAAGAGCCTAGGGAATACTGTTGGATTTTTCCCTGTGAGGGATGGGAACCTTGCATATATTTCCAGTACCTGCTAATGTAAAAAGCAAATTAAAATACTCTTTCTCCATACAGTAGCATAATATCTGACAGTCAATCTGCTGTGTACCACCTTTCAGTTCGAAGTTTTTAATTCTTCTTTGGTAGTAATAGAATCAGAAAGTGGGATGTAGATTCAGGCACCCCACACTGTCTCCCTTTCAATATACTGAGTGTTCCCTATCAGATTCCTACCTTCTGGTTTTTGGGTTTTAACAAAGAAAATATATTTTATTTAGTTTATAGGCAGTTGTGAAAAATCTCACAAGCACAAGGCAGGTGCCAGTGATTGGAGATGATGTGGCCTGATGGCTTTGCAAACCTAGCCAGTGAACTTTGAGTGCTGTTTTTCATCATCAATAATACAAATCAGCTTCAAAATAGAACATGGATGCTTTTCTTGAAGTTACTGAAATATAACATTTCAAATTGACACCTAGATGGTAATAATTTTCTCAGTATTTTAATCTTTCATTTTCATCCTGTATGTCATTGGACTCATGTGAATAAATACATTCTTTCAAAATGATAAGGTGATCAGCAATTATAAATTTATATAGAAATACATAATATAAAATACCTATTATATGAAAATATGTACGTATAATTAAATATTTTATAATATATATTTTTATGTAACTATATAAAATTATATATAAAATATATAATATAAATATATGTATCTTTCCTTCTTTTTTTTCTGCTTTAGGGCAGGTTATACCGGAAAGAAGATTTGTAGAAGCGGTAAATCATGAAGCATATCAGTATCAAATTGGTGACTTTCCAGCAGAATGGGAAGGTAAATATTTTGGTTTTATTTCAAGATAATTTTGCCATTGAATGTAGGCTCTGTGTTTTAATGGAAAGCCTGACTATGTGAATTAGTTATTTGTTATCTTTCATTTTAGGTAAGGCAGGCTTTTATTCAACTGCATAACAATATAAATTCTTAAAGTAACCTCTTTAAAAATAGTATAAATTTTGTTTGAGAAGTCAGTACTTAATGAAAGTAAAGCGTAAGTGGAGATGACTTATTCCTATAAACTGTGAAAATATTTGTGCCTGTGGAGGATCTGATTGAATAACCAGCATGAAGCGTACTAAATAAAACAAAACTTCATTATTATTCCTTCACTGCAGTGTTAATATGTAAGTCAGTTCACCTACATATTGGTGTCACCTGTGATGGGGCTGCTTTTTTTATTGTGTATTTGGTTTCCTATACTCTCCCTTGCGCAATCTACTGGAGAGTTGGAGAATCTGTTAATAAGTAAACATCTTGTCCAACTGCTACTGATTAAATTCTTGTCTGAAAATTTGTGATATAATAAACATTTCAGGGAAGTTAGTGCATTTCCTTAGGATTAACTGATCAGCTCTTGGAGACAGAGAGAAACAAGAGGAGCATATGTTGGTCTTTGAGGTTGTTAGGTGCTTGACCCAAGTGTGGGGTTAAATGTGACTTAAAATCCAGGACTCTGCAGCATAAGCAAGGAATCCCTGAAACAGTATAAGCAAGGAATCCCTGAAATAGTGCGTAAAGGCTACCCATTACTCAACATGCTTTTGGGAAAGAAAAATACCTAGACATCTCCCAGAAGTTGGTAGGTCTAAAGCACACAGTTTTTAAGCAGTATGTATTTAAGCTCTGGAATTCCTCATTGTGGATATTCTGCTTGCTGGAAGTTTGCATAAGTTCAGTAGGAAGTTAGAAGTACTGGTGGAAGAAAAATTGTTCTTATACACAGATATTACTGTGGTTTAATTTATGAATGAGCTGCAAATGAATTGAGTCTACAACATGTTTGGAGGAAATGTCTTAGTATACTTGCTTTATCTTATTCTCTTTATGCTTGATACCCTTCTCTGAGGGAGATGATACTGAACAAAAAGAAAATTTCAGGCCCATCATATCCCTTCATAGAGTCAGTACAGAAATAGAAAACATTCTTATCTTGTTTTTTATCATTGTCATTACACTAATCCCTAGGATTTTTGCTGTGATCAACTGAGGCTAGTATTAAGAGCAGAAAGCTTCGGAAAGGTGTTTCAACACTATTGGCAGTGTTTGCCAGCTATGGTGAAACCACCGTATCAACAGTTTCTGTCTTCTACAGCTGTAGTACCCACAGGGGGTTGGCAAGTCTTGCTCTAGCTGTTTCTGCTTCTTTGTCAGTCCAAGAGAGCCATCTTCTGAAGGGCAGCAGCAACCTGATAGACTTGTACTAACTAAATCATCTGGTGCTTGAATGGATGAAGTTCTCCAGCTATCAGTTAAAGCTCACCTTAGTTCTCTGTGACTGTCATGCAAGCACTGCACCACAGACACCAAGAACATATATGAAGCTTTAGGTAACTTTGCTCTCCTGTGTAGGAATTCTCATCTAGGACAATTCAGTAGTCTCTGTCTGCACTTGTCTGGAATTAACAGGAACACAATGCGGACAGTCAGACTGTCTCAGACGGGTGTTGGCTAATCATCCTTTCACAAATGGGGTTAGACCAAATTGCAATACAAACCCATTGCTTTGTGCTATTGGGATCTGTGTAGCGCTAAAAATCCTCTGCTATATATCTCTTCAGAAATTTAGCACAAAGCCACGGGATTTGACAGTGTGGTGCCTTGAAGGTTGCAGATTTTTGGGATGTTGTGTGTGAAAAGACCTTGAAGGCAAATACCATATACCATCAAGGGCATATGGACTTGTCTAAAAAGCTGCAGCTGCCAGACCTGAGACACAGTTTTCAAGTCAAGGCATCCTGTTCAGATTTGTTTTAGAGAAGAAGCAATTAACTGGCCAGTCCTGTTGTTGTGAGCTATGTTTACAGTTTTATTGCTTAACTTCCTCATCTTCGTAAATGTGAGGTTTTCTCTTTGTGATATTGTCAGCAAATACAAGTACATTGTGGGCAAATAATTCACAGAGGAAAGGAAAATTTGCAGTTTGCAGATTGAGTAATAGTCTTTTGCTCTTAAGTACCTGTCCTGATTTTGGCCAAGGATGGAGTTAATTTTGCAATCACCAGGAGAGGGTGTGGCTGACAGGGTGTGGCCAGAATCTAGATGTTATAGAATACCACCTTAGGTTATTGCTGGGAGTAGGGGAAGGGGACTCTGGCTTCTGCAAAAAAAGGTGTGGCTTCTGATTGGGAAAAAACGTGGCTGTGGTCATCTCACATCATACTTGGTGAGCATTTTGCAAGAAAATTACTGTCTCTTTTGTATGCTTTTATTATTAGTATTAATATATGTTTGTTTTCTTATCTCACTGCTGTTTCCAGTAATTGTTATCTCACCCCGTGATCTTTGCCTTTTGTGCCTCCCATCCTCCTCCCTGGCCACCCTCAGTGGGGAAGGGTGGAAGAGGAAGGGAGAGGGAGTGGTCAGCAGTGTGGTTTGGGGAGCTTTTGTGAGAGAAGTAAACTGGGGAGTACCATTCCTCAACCACAACACTACTTCTGTCTCTAGAAAGAAGAGATACATGCATGCTTTTTTCCCTGGTGCATTTATTAACCAGAAGGGCATGTAGTGTATGCTTCTGAGAGATAAAGATTGGAATTCCAGAAAAAAGACTAACCTGTATTTTTTTGTCCAGTGCTAGTCTAATCTGTGCAAACAGTTTTATGGATGTAGAATTTTTTTAAAAAGTGAAAACTGGTACTTCTGCTGCGGGTATAGAAGCTGTTGAAAGAACTTGTCTTGGCTACATATTGTGGGGTGTGAGGGATGTACAATGCTCTGAATTTCAATTCATCACTACTTCTTTTTTGCCTCCTGTAAAAAAAGAAATTCTGAATTAGTTAAAAATGAGAAGTAACGGAAAGTGTAGATAGTTTAAATACTAGTACAGAAGCCAGTTTCTGAGTAAGAAAAGTTTAATTCAAAATTTTTAGACACTCTTTGCTGGACTGCTCATTACATTTCTGTCCCAATTTTTACCTCTTTAACATTGGTCTAGGTGTTTCCCAGGCCCACAGGACCTGTGCTGAACTTTCACTGTGTGTCTTCTGTCCCGATGCTTGAAAATATCCTGGTACATTCTTTCTGTGGATGTTCTCATTATAATTCATGCTATTATAGATGCTGATCATTCCAGCAAATACCCTGAGACTTTGCAGAAGGAGTTCTAAAATACTTGGTGTTTCCTCTGAACAGTAAAAGATGAATATGAGGTTAGAATCTTATTTAATATTTCTTGCTTTTTTTTCTCTTTGTTCTTTGACTCTGCTGGGCCCACACTTACATCTCCAGAGGCCTCCTCTCCAAGCCCAGTATACGTACTTTGACATCCATGGCCTCTACTAAAGTTTCAGCTGGCTCTCCTTCCTATTCTTCTCAGGCTTTTCACTTCTATGACTGTGCTGAAGAGTTTATTGCCTTATGTCCTCCTTTTCTTGGGACCTCTAGGGAGCTGCTTTTACCTGTACTGTCTTTGTTCTGCCAGGATTTGGGGTTTTTTTTACTTGTGAACACTTCTAAATGGCCACTCCATCCCAGCACCCTTTCCCTTTCTTTGTTACCCTGCACAACTGTATGACTGACTGTATGACTAGAAAAAGAAACCTCTTATGACCAAAATTAATAAAAGTACTGTCCCTGGAAATACTTACAGGCATCACTTGTCTGAAGAGAACTTTCACAAAACCAGGGACAAAGGATAGTGTAAGGAGTGGGAACAGGCTGTAGAGAAGTTGGAAGAGGGAGCAAGTTAAATCTCATTCTGTACCTAAGACATTCAACTTAGACAGCTGGTAACCTAAGGAACTGACTCTGGTGCTGTGTTTATCAAGTTTTAAACATGTAATAAAGAAAGGAGACCAAGTAGAAAGCTATAAAGCATTATCTAGATCACAGACTCAATCTGTGCAAGCTGTTTCTTTGACTCTGGAGAGGTTGTTTGTGTACTGATCCTGGGAGTTTACTGAATATAAAGCCAAGGGTTTACTGCTGAAGGACTTGTCTGGAAATTTTACCCTAAAGATGTTAGTTTTAAGTGCTCTGCAAGATTGAATTATCTACATTCTCAGACCTCTGAATTTTATTAAAAGTTCTGAAATGTCTGTTAAGGCTTTTGTAAAGCTAAAACAATCCCTTGTGTTATCCTCAGTGTTAGCTCTTTCTACACCTAAAATTTAATTAATTTTAATTTTAAAAATCGAAAAGTGTATTTCCTCTTGTGCTGTAGTTTTAAATTTAGAATGCAATCAAATATTTGTATACAAATATTTGCAAACAAATATTTGTATACAATAATGCTTGGTTTTGTTTCAGTGAAGTCTCTTGTATTTTACTTCAGAGCGTGAGTGCCTACTTTTCCTTAGGCAGTATGGATGCACACAACAGATAACATTTCTGTATTTTAGTTCTGAGTGTTCACCTACTTAAATATCTGTAATTTACCTCCTCAAGACATGTCAGGGGAGATCTGTAATTTTACATACCACAGAGATTTGGGAGAAGGCATGCTTCATACGGCATTTTATTGCCGTCTACTCCTAATCTCGCTTTTCTTTTCCTTGGTAACATTTAGTGATTAATGGAAGTTTTAATTTGCATGTTCACTTTTATGGCCATTGCAGCATGTTATCTGCCAGTAGGAGTCTTAAAGTTCAATGAAAATTTCATGCATACTAATAAGAATGCAAATGAGTGCTGATGAAAGAATGCGAATGTCTCAAGGTAGGAAATGTCCAGCTTACTTGCAAAATTCCTTTTAGACAAAGGTGGAATTAAAATGAGTACATCCGGATAAAATTAGAAGCAGCAATTTTAAATGGGGGCAATGATTCATTTTGCCAAAGATTTGGGGGCAGGGAGGATGTTTTGGTTGCACTCAGTACATACATGTTACCTTCTCTGCCAGGTTTAAAACATCTGTGCTGACAATGGTAAAGGCTTTTCGTTTTGTTAGCTTAGGGAAATGGGAACGTAATGTAAAACTTTTTCCCAGCTATAACTGTCAAATTTTTATTAAGTATATACATGTGTGCATATATAGTTCAAATAAAATGTAATAAAGCACCTACCTACCTACCTTGTTTCCATCAAGAAATATTTGGCTATGGTATAAAGCTGTTGAGTAATTTAAAAGTGCATTCACCAAGGGTGTAATGCAGATCATAAAGAAAGGTACAAGAGCTTTTTCTTTGCTCAGCTGTATGTACAGATATGTATATTTTGCATCTGGGTATACACAGATATATATAAAGAGAATGCAAAATATATAAACTTCAACATATTATTTACTTGAATTTTGTTAAACATAGTACTGACTCAGTAGGAAATTGGTTATATTTTTATACAACTTCATTCTCCCTTTGCTACCATGAATTTCTCTTATACCTGAGTTATGAGGTATTGGTGCTTTTTTTTGAACCATGTGTTGGGTGCTCAAAATTTTATTGGTAACTTAAAAGTCAAAGATTTGAAATGCTTTTAAAAATCTTCCTGTCTCAAAAAGAACCACATCAAAACTGGTGAGAATTGAGTATACTAGAGTCCTCCCATTCTTACCCACAAAGATTAAGGAGTGGTCAGGTGAATTATTAGTAAAATGTATTTCTTTTGAAAGACTGATAAAACTGTTGGATGCTAAACTGCAGTGTACTAAAATATACTGAAATCAGATGATGTTTTCTTTGCTTTTAAACTCATATTTCTTCTTGAGCTTTATGAAGAATATTTGAGAAGTGGATGTGCACAGAGGAGTGTGATAACATTAAATCTAACTAACTTCATCTTATGGATATAAAAATTTTCATACTATATTCCTTCCTCAGCTACATGGCAGTGAAGAAATCTTTCATTAAATAATGACTTTCTTATGCAGTTCATGAGAGATATTAAAATTAATTTACTTGCAGTATCAATATTTGTGCCAACAAGTTTTATGTACCGTTAAGCTGAAAAATATTTGTACCCCTGACATTTATTAGAAAACAGGAAGGTTAATAGCTCCAATAAAACCAAGTATTCAAGAGTTGTTATGACTGGAAAGAAAAAGAGCACAGTGTTAAAACTGTGTGCATTATTTATGTATTTAAATATATACAGTTCTATTATGGAATGTTTGATATGAAAAATCTTCCTAAATTAAGGTTTGTTTCTTTGCTTTTGAGTGTTGGTACTGAGTTCAGTTAATGAATGAAAATTTATTGTGGAGTGGTCCTTACTTCACAGCCTCTGTTCACAGGACATATGTGATTGTGTTGTGCTTCACTGTTTTGTTTGCAGCTTCTTAAACAATGTAGATAATTAAATTATAAAATCATTTAGTAGAAGTATTCCATTCATCTGAAAATCATTAGTCAAAGAATGCTAAAAGTCACAGGTGTTCTTGAAAGAAAATCTATTGTAATGTTTATATTTCAGCAGTACTTTCTAGCTGCAGCTTAATTTTTATTTCCAATTTTTTCTTTAGGAATCAGTTATTATAATCATCTGAAGTTAAAATGCAGCTAGTGTTTTAAGAAAATACTGGCAATTTCAAATAAAGTAAAGCAATTTTTACATGTTGAGAGCTGTGGGACTGAAAACAGTGGTACTATCCTTCCACAGGTCAGAAGCAAGTCATGGCAAGGTAGAAGATGATATTTCATTGAAAGTAATCTGTTAAATTTTGATGGTTTAAGATTTACTTTTTATGAGACATTTTGAACTAGTATTTTTTCCTTTTTTTTCTCCAGCTGTATCTTATATTGATTAGTGTCTAGTATACACACTTTGCTATATCTGAAATCTCTGCTACTTTTTGGTTTTTTTTTCTGAATGATGCTGCCAAGTATTTCAGTAATCTGAAACTGTTGCTAAATATGGACAAAGGTAACTTCCTTCAGGAGGAAATGCTTATGTGATACGATTTTCTTCAATAGCATGATTGGTTTTGTTACAGAGCATATGTAAGGCTGCCAGCTGAGAAGTGACAGTCTCAGTTTAGTCTTTCGTCTTACCAGATTTTGCAGTTTGAAATCCTAGAAAAATTTAAATGTTTGTAAGTGCTACAGGTACATGCGAAAAGTTCTGTAGATTTAATAGAAAGTCACGAAGTTGTCTTTTGAATTACATTATTGGGCTGTTTTTCTTTCCACCGACATAAAACTTGCAGAAAGTGTGTTGACTCTTCATAGCTCTGTCACTTCTCAACAATGACAATAGATTTGGATCTATTTTTTGTTAGGAATGCTGAGAAGAGATGACAGGGACTGCTTTTAAGAAAAACAGTTTGAGAAAGACATTTAAAAGTACATATCTTCAGGAAGTGAAACCTGATAGACAAGAACCTAAAGTGTTACCTTGCTTCATATCTTTACAGGTATTTTACCATTAAATTTTACCATTAACCAAGGCTGTTGGCCTTGCCATCCTGGATAAATTCCAAGCTGTTCTACCATTTCATCTCCCTTTGTTCATATGTTAATTGGAACCTATTCTCCCTAAAACCAGTTGCATACTGTTGCTGCTGTTAGTGTTACACCTTCTATGTAATTGAATTTTCAGAAATGAGATGTTGTTATGACTCTGTGCAGGTTTTAGTGTCTACGGCTTGTCTAAATCATTCCCTGGTTCCCCTCAAAATACAGCACAGATGGTATTAGAAAATTAAAATATGGACTATTTACTTCTTAAAGCATTTCTGTAACTTTATAGATGGCAACAGGTGAGGCCAGGAATTTGAGTGCGTTATAGCAAAATGTTATTTTTGCTCTCATTTTCAAGCATAGTAACAAAAATCTTAAATTACCCAAACAAACATATGAAATAACATTTTGCTGTATATCAGCACTTGGAAGGAGCTTTCCTTATGTTTGTCATTCTGTTCATTACTGGCTACTTGCATTCTGCTACTAATTAATTTGAAAAATATGGGAAGAAAAGACAAATGTCTTTAAAGTATCCAACCAAGAACCTACCAATTGTGTAGATTAAAAAGCCGTAGAAAAATGCTACAGTAGTGGTATTTCTAAAAAGTGATGTCAGGTCATTCCTCTAAGTAATGTCTGTAATAGTTGGAGCTCTTTCTCTTAATTCATTGACTGTACAAAGTGAGACCTGTCAGCATCTGCGATGTGGTGTCTGAGTTGCTGCCTCCTGACAGTCCCAGCAGTGATAGTGATGGGAGTGGGCAAATGTCTGTGGATCACATTCAGAAAACCTGAGCCACAGGACAGCTGTCATCGCCACTGCTTTTATTCCTCCATTCCTCTGCTGTCTTTTACACCATGAATTTACTGAGATGGAGGGATCCTTCCCCCAGGCATAGTGCCCACCCCTCCTGGCAGTGAGTAATCCCACAGAGCCCCATGATGTGTTCAGTCCAGGCTCTGCAGTCCCTCAGTCAGGTCTGGGGCTGTGCCTTTCATACCTGTAAAGGAATTCTACCTGGTGGTAACATAAAAAGTTTTCAGCTTTAAGAATGTCTGAAGCATGTACAGGAATCCTTTTTCACCAGAGTGGTCTAAGGCTGTTCTTACTTTCCATCAGTCAGCTTGTCATTTTCATAGGGTGTATCTCAACTCTGTATTGCAAGCTCAACAATAAGCCTGTACCATAAGCCCTGCTTTTTAAGCCCTGTTTTGACAGCCAGGGTGGTATGTAAACCATGCCCAAGGTCTCCACGCAGAGGTGGCACATCCCCCACAACTCTCTTCTCTGAAGACCAAGTATTGAAATGGGAAATAACATCTTGTGCCTACATTTTGGGAAATGACAGGTTTGCCAGGTTGTGGTGAATTCTATTTTAATTTTTTCATAAATACTTGCTTTCTGTTACAAATTAATAATAATCTTGAGTTTTAATACTGTTTGTGATCTTTGAAATAATCGATTTGATTTTTTTTTCTAGCATGGATAAGAAAAAAGAGAGAAGATCCACCCACAATTGAGGTGAGATGTAATGTCTTTAAATTTTCAATTGGTGAAATGAAATTACTATAATTCATTTATAGTGGACTCATCTGTGTGGTAATCTGCCACTTATGGGGGAGAATTTAGTATGTTCCTTGCCTAATTGATGAAAATGCACACTGACTATCTAGCTAACACTTAGCAAAAAGTAAAATAAACTTTTTATTTCTTAAATTTAAAATTATTTTAAGATTATATACGTAGGTTCTTTAAGATGATCAGAACCATTGAAGAGTCTCTTCAATTAAAAAATTCTTAAATTACTGCTATGGCATTTTAATTAACGTAAGGTTTTTTTCATAGTAGTTGATATTAAAATGTGGGTTTCAAATCCAGCTGCCAGTGGATTCATCAAATCAGGAAAACCAATTGCACTAGCATTTTACAGTGCTAATGCTACAGGGAGTTGCAGCTATGTCTTTTTCCATAAGAGAAAGCAGAGAAATGTCCCCTAGTGTCTTTCATGCTGATGAGTTTGTAAGGAGTTTAGAAACAAGTTTGACTGCTGATCTGTGTATGCAGATATATGCACATACATACATGACTTGCCCAGCATTTATATTATAAGTTGCTAAGCACCAGCTGGGAATGAGAGAGAAGACATAGTTTGCTGCAGCAGATTCAAAATTACACCCAAGGAGGCAGATATTTGACTTGCATCAGGAGTAACTGTGTCGACTTCAAATCCCTGAACATATGTTGGCATATCCAGCCATTTGGTCACTGAGGTCTTCTGGAACATCCTGGCCTATGAAAATTTGTCCAGACTGCCTGTGTGTTGAGATGACCTGGGGAATTTTGTCATTGAAACAAGCTCCTACACAACATACAGCTTTTCAACTAATTCTCTCTGCCCCTCTTTCACACTTGCCACTGAGGCTATAGGGACAGTAAGGACTATAATACATCCATGAATGAAAGAAGTTTAAGTTAAATTTATCCTTAAACCTGTTCAGGAAGTAGTAAATGTGGGCTTGGGTTTTTATTTTTTAATTTTTTTCCCTTTCCTCCCCAGTCTAGTTACTTAGGTAGAGCCATGGAACTGATACTACAACAGTTGCTCCATCTAAGTTTGGATTGACCTAATTTTAATTAATTCTGGCTTATACCAACTGTGTGCAAACAACTTTTATTGTTGAAATTGCCACTTAATGTGATGTTTGAAGATGGGAAGTGTTGTGTCTTTAGTTCTACAATTTCTGTGAGCCAGTCTGCTCTGATAGTTGCTCTGTCGTAAACCTTCTCAAAGACTGGCAGCCTTAGGTCTGGACTTGGCACAATAAAACTCCTTCTGTTGCTAGAGATGTTGGTTCATTTTTGAAATAGGGAGCAAGAAGTCTCCACAGGTGAGAGAACTGTGGAACAATAGTGTTCTAAATATTTTACCTTCCAGAAAAAGCAGTTTATGGAGAGTAAAAGATTGGTGTGACTAATGGTGCGTTCAGAGTTACAGCACTTCGTTACAGCACTTCGTATATTTTTAGTTTCATGGGGTAATAGATCTGAGAAATAATTTAGCAGCTAGGTACTTCACCTGCAGGGCTGTTCATTGACTGTATCACAGAGCAGAAATTATAAACCAGGAATTTGAAAATAGTTAACTTTTCAAGTAATCTCTAAACAATTTTTTTCCTGTGTAAGAAAAACTAGTTCAAATACATGTATGTTAAAAATTCTCCCTAGTATTTTGAAATATTTTTAATATGTGATAGTAAAGCCTAATTTTATCTCTATTATGGAGAATAGTTTGGGGTGCTATATATGATCTACTTTTCTCCTAATTTGAAACTGGCACAAACCTTTACATCTCAATATAATTATAATTGAGATGTAAGGGTTATAATTATAGTAGTGAAGTACATATAGCATATTGTTTGGTCCCTATTTGTAGGGCTGATTTGCTTTAGTGTTTTAGCTACATAAATTTTACTGTCTGCTATTCCATATTATGTTCTCCTTTTGACAGTAAAGATGGTATGATAAACTGCTGTTTGGCAGTTAGGAAACAAGGGAATATTTGTGGCATATTCCATGTTGAAACCCTAGGTAACAAATCTTTCTTCTTTTGTGTATTTCTCATGAGACCAGCCTATTTCTGAAAAAGGATGTAAAGCCCACAAATTTTATGTTTGTTTGCTCAACAACTCAGGTTACCAGTTTTCATGATGAATTTTTAATTGAAAATATTGCAGAGATAACAGCTTCACAAAGCCGTTGGATCTTACTGATCACACTGATGACCACATGTTGGGAACCAATGGTTTGGTAAATACTGTAGGCTAACAAAATGTCATTCAAAATCATCAGGACATGTCAGTCATTTAAGTGAGAACAAATGTGAATTGTTCCTCCCTGACAGTGGTCAGAATAGTTGGATCATGATATCAAGCTAAGTCTGTTGCTGATTTTCGTGTGACTTGATCATGTTTTATATTCAAAATTCTTTCTTCCACAAACACCTGATTTTTTTTTTGTTTGCTTGTTTCCATTATAAAGTTTTCACTTCTGCTCAGAAGAAGTTGTTTTACCTCTCTCTTTAGTTTCTCTCTCCTGTTTTTGTGTTGGTTTTTTTTTTTTTTAATGGAAAAATACTACAAGTCAGCTTGTGCAATGTTAAATGTACCACATCCCTAATAGTTTCTTTCCTTCTTGTGTGTTCATCCCTTTTTCCCCATTTTTGAAGGAAGTCACTTGGCCTTCTGTGTCTGGCTAGACATAATTCATGAATGCTGCTCATCACCTTCATTCTTTCTAACCTGGCCAGTTACATAAGGAATGTTAATGCTGGAAGCCTTGGGTTTTAAAATAATTTTCTGGGATACTGGTTAACAGTTGGTTGCCTTTTGATTTTTTTACAGCTTGAAATATGCCAAGTCTCAGTTTAATTATGATAAGGGTGATAACTTGACAAATTAGTGCAGATCACATTATTTCTTATGTTCTGCTTAAACATACTCTGTTCCTATGGTAATCAGGGAATCTGTCTTGGTATAAAATTCTGGATCGTGCCTTTGTCCTGTCTGAGCATGTGTACAGTGTGTGTACAAAACATATACTCCTTAATAACAGTGAGAATCTCAGCTTGAATATGAATATTTTTGCAGTACTGTAGCATCATGTCATGTGTCCCTTTATATGTGTATTAAGTATGATCATATATGGTTGGCTGCACTTTATTTCTCTACAGCTCTAAATTATATTTTAACCAGTTTAACTGGGGATTAAAAACTAAATTGACTAATACATTTCTTTATTATGTATGTAGGAAACTAGATGTATGTAGCAAGTGTTTTGGCAAGTAGGAAATATGTCACTTTTAAATTAATGAGAATGTTTTAAAGGCTACTAATATTAAAATAATTTTAATCAAATGCTATTTTGTGGAAGCAGATGTAATAATTTATCACTTTACATCTGTATTAGTTCACCTACTCCGCTTTAATGTTGTCAGAATTTAAAGCCATAGTTAAAGCCATAGTCCACCTTCTGTATAGCTCATCCAAAAATTTCCAAGGTAAATGTAAATGTGCTGTCTTGCATGTTCCCCTATTCACCAGTTTTCCTTCCAGCTACAGAAATTTAAACCTGGCATCTTTATATTTTGGTTTTTTCACATCTTATTTAGAAAGGAAAGAAAAGATGCTCATGAAGACAAGGAGGAAACCTCTCTTCAGACCCTTCTGTGCCTGACTTCTTTTTGATTTTTTTTTCTTATTTCAGAGGGCATGAGATTTGTAGAGGCTTTTAAAGAATTCTGCCATCTGTAACACAAGATATCCAAATATATTTAGAAATCTAACCTTTATTTTCTCCCGTAACAGATCTTCTAGCTACACACTACTTCTGATAATGTCCTGAGGTTCAAGGGTATCTGAGAAACTTGACATTATTTAAGGCCATGTCTGTAGAATGGTGACAGAAAAAAAGTTACAGACTTCCTTGGGGTGTCAGAAAACTAATGAGGAAACTTGCAATTATGGCAATGTCAAGAGAAACTGGTGTGGAGGGAAATGTGATTTATCTCTCAACCCACCAACATGGTATCCTGAAAGTGGTAGTAACACTTAGTAACACATCCTTGTGTATACAGGTCTTTGCACTAGATAGCACTTCCCTGTTGATACAGAAGCTGCTTCCTCTGTAGCACACACAGGGCTGCCACAAATATCAGTTTGAACTGAAACCTCTCTGTTGCTCTGTATGTGTGTGTTACATTAGTATTTAATGGGAAGTAAAGTAGAATTGCATGTTCCTTTAATTGGCATCAAGATGTAGCAGGCCCAGGGCCTGCAAGGCCTCCTTGGCGGTCAGAAGCCTGAGCTAGGCAATGCCAAGTCACGATGACTGGGCCTTAGAAGCCCCTCTCTTCCGCCTTTCGGACCCTGCTTATCTCTCTGTAAGCCTGTAGGTCACTTTCCCCTGACCCTTGCTATTGGACAATTTCCAAAACCCCCGTAGGGCATAAAAACCCCTAATTCTGCCTGGTTCAGCAGAAGAGCTGTCACTGAGAACCTTCGTGGATGTCATGGTTTGACCAGAGGAAGTGAGGTTTTGGGAAAGTTATGGTCAAACCAATCAATGGCCCGATTTTAAATTGGCACCTGATGTGGCCACTGGGGGTCAAGATCCTGAAAATAGTTTGAAATTGAAAACCACAGTAAATGGCTGCTTTTCTCATGCAGTATGTACTTGTTACACAGTAATAAAATTCAGTGAGTTCTGAATTGCACAGTTGGATAGAAGGTGAAATGCTAAAAAAAAAGTAATGTGATGATGCCTCTATTCTTTCAAACTAATTCTAGGATATCCATCGTTATCTGTTTTGGCAAACTCCTTGTCAAGCAAGGAAAAAACATACTTCAGTGAGTTGTAATAAGCAGAAGGTTTCTTCCTCTCAACCCCCAAATAAGTACATTGAAATTAAATTCTATTTAGTTCCCACAATGTATATCCTCTATTCCTGTTTGATCATAAGTATT